CCACCCGGCTGCTCCCTGCCTGCCCCGCTGCGACCCGGGCCTCTGCACCTTCCCGGCCCCTCAGGCATGGCCAGCCCCCAAGATGGGTGGGAGGCCTTGTATGTGCTGGACACCTGTGCCAGGCACTTAGGGGCCAAGGTTCAAACCCCACGTCCCCCAGGGACCAGCCCATGACTGTGGTCAAGTCCTTGCCCTGGCCCCCCTGCGGCTGCGCAGGTGCCCGTCCCCCACGACCCCCGCAGTGGCCTGGCGGGCCCCTCCCTACCTTGGTCAGCCACTCCTCCCAGCACACCTTCTCCTCCTGGTTGAAGAGCTCCTCTGTGGGAGAGAGGGGTCACAGACTCCGTGTCCTCGGACCCTGGGCGGAGTCAGGGTGACGTCCCTGCCTTGGATCTGGGGGGAGGGGAGCTCCGAGGGCTGTGACCGTGCTTGGGCTTGGGGTCCAGAGCGGGGCTGGAGCTGTGGCCCCGCTGGCTCTGCCCTGTGACCTCAGGAGGCCATGCGAGGCTCCCCAAGGGTGAAGGAAGGGGCCGCTCCAGCACGGCCCTTTGAAATGGCTGGGGTCCCGTGACGGTGAAATAACAGGGCTTGGTGGCAAGGGGGCATTGTGAGACAGGAAGCCCGACCTCAGAGGGAGGGGCTGCTTCAGGAATGACCTGGGGGGTCGCTGTGGTCACCCCAGGCACAGAGGGACCTCCACTCAGCCTGCCCATCCCCCAAGCATGACCTTTGAGGCCTCACTGTCCTTCCACAGCCTCCAACCCCTCACTGACGCCACCAACCAATTCCCTCCTCAAACTCCTACCCACCCCTCAAGGCACAGCTTAGACTTGGCCGCCTCCTCCAGGAAGCCTTCCCTGATGGTCACCAGGGCAGCCCAGGACCTCCCCAGCCAGGCAGTGGTGAGCTCAGCCCACGGTTGTGAATGAATGAGTGAATGAATGAATGAGTGAGTGAGTGAGTGCCCGTTGAGAGTTGGCACTTGCCTCCCCGTGAGCTCCTGATGGCAGGGAGCCTGGCACATGGCAGGTCCTCCGTCAACAGTTGCTGTCGTGCCGTAGCTGAGCCCTCATCCTAGCGAGGCCCCAGCTTCGGGTCGGAGTGGGCAGCACAGCCGGACAGTGCTCCCCTGTGGGGTGCTGGGGCCGCCGCCCACTGCCCTCTGCCCCGAACATGCTCGCTGCCAGCCCCCTCCTGGGTGTCTCTCCGTGACCTGCCCACCCTCCCCAGCCCAGGGCGTGGCACAGGGTGGCCTGGGCCTCAGGACCCACGGGAGGACGTACGTTTAGAGGTCAGGACACCCATCACGTAGAGGAGGCTGCGGTGCGGGAACACGCCCGTCAGGACCTCGGCCTCCAGGTGCTGGGCCCCCGCCCGCCACGAGTGCCTGCAGATGGCCACCAGCACGTTGCTGGCCGCG